GTTGTGCCAGTATCTGTTATGCTGTTTGTTAGCCTATTCCCTCATTTGGCCTCGTACTGTGGTTTTTGGTACTCCCAGGGCTGGTAACGGACCAATGTAAAGCTGTTCTAGTTCTCCAGGTTTTTCGTTACCTTCAACAATTGCCTACTCCGTATTTCAGGTATTCGTTCGGATTTGTCAATTTCTTCAATGACGCGTGACTATCTCTAGGAATATTGGTTCACCTTTTTCCTACTTCCTAGTATTATTTTCTGATGTAAGGTGCAGGAGGTATTGCGCATCCTCCGTTTTGTAATTGAAGGTTTTAAGTTGAGGAGTTAAGAGTAGTTGCAAGTTCAAAGGTTATCTTCTGATTCGTTCATGGCTTTATGCTCCATTGCCTTTTGTAATTCACTGCGTTCTTATGATTCCAAACTTATTTCTACAAGTATTATAGGTTTCCTTATAATTTTTCTATTACTTGACAATTTCGTGTTCTATCCAATCTGGTGCAAATTAAATTTTTTGAAATTATCAAAATTTCTATCTAATTTTTAATACCTTAGGTGCCTTTTGCTTGTTAGATACATACAAAGAAAATCTGAACACGAGTATTGCTAGAAACGAATGTCCCTCTTAAGGGGTGCACCCTGTACATATACATGTTTAATTCGACGAGCGGATCGCGCAGTTTAACGACCCTAATTAATAGGGGCTTCCTCCTAACAAATTAAGGGGTATACTTGATTTCAGGTAATGTTTTGAAAAGCAATTTATCTTATCCCTCTTTTATGTGAATATATAACACAGGGTGTTTAGAAAATTCTGTATCAACCTCGTGGGCAAATTCCACTTCATTTCAAGGAGGAACATCTTCCAAACGCCTTTAACACCATATAATGTAAATCTGTTTGAAGGCCCTATCACAGTTCAGCATTAAAAATCTGTAGAAAGTTTCACTAGAGACAAAAATTTACTAAAATAATTTTGAAAAAAGTATTGTTACCGACTACTTTGATGACACAATTAAGGACAGTTAATTGCTTTAATAAAAGAATCTAATTTACTGTCATAGTGTTGAAAAATACAATTTCATTTGCACTATCATCGTTTTTTCTTTATAACATGTAAGGTTATGTAGTATGAAAATTATTCATTGTTACAAGCTTTTATTTAACTTGCATTGTCAGTATGGGTCAAATCTTGAAATTGAATTTTAAAACAGTTATCCCCAACCGATTGAGCTGAAATTTTGCATACACTTTTAGTTGGGATGACAATACATGGTTAGGAAAGTGACGTCATTCTCAATCCAATATGCCGGACTCCCAAAGATGGCGGACCAGTTATTTTTTATGCACCCCCATGATATGGGTATCAAATGAAAGGGTTTGCTGAGAAGAATACGAAAATAAAATACGTCACTAAAATTGCTTAAAAAATTTTTATACATGAACTTATTATATTTTCCTGAACATATCAAAAAAAAATTGTGAAACTGACCATTATAGCCGAAATTTCATTTAAAATACTAAAGTTGTTATCCAATCTTTTATCGGACGATGGAACACTTTTTTAAAAACCGTATACATAATTTGAAGCATCTATTTTTTAAAATTTACCAGGGTAAGTTTAATCACATACTTAACAAATTATATTATATTTTCTAGCAGATTTCTTAATCTGTTCAAATTGTCTTTATAAAAAATGTACACTTGAAAACGGAAAACAAAGATAAACAATGTTCTAAATTACAAAAGCCATCTTGTGTTCACATTAAATTTTTTTGTCTTGACCCAAGATAAGCCAGTATAATAGACTTTTTCGTTTAAGATCACTTAAGGTCATTAACTTGTTTGGTACACTTCCTAGTTCTACCCCTGAGCTTTATGTCTGTAAGGGCGTGTAAAATTTTCATCCCTCGTTCACTGTTCACACTTCAGTTGTTGCTTCCCCTTTTGAGAAAAAGAGATATATATTTTAAGAAAAGACGGGAAATAAGTATTTCAGCCTTCTCAGTAATGATTAACAGAAGATAAGAAAAAGTTTTTTAAACATAAAATGGTAGAAATTTGGGTCAGAAAAGTTCGCTTTTAAAACTAGAACGGTTATCACCAAAAAAAAAAAATTATAAAATAAATAAAATAAAAACACTACGTAATTGGACGACTGTGTCGTGTTTATTAAAATATTATTGTGGTTTTCAATAAGAGGATTCATATTACCTTGGTAATATGAATATTTTTATTGATAATAATAGTAATCTGGTTTATGTTTTACATTTTAGTTTTATAAGTACCTACTAAGAGTAGCCAGTGTGTATAGTAAAGCAAAATTAAAGGATGCTGATTTAATTTACGATGAAACAAGACAAAATGCAGTAGCAGCTTTCCGCTTACATGCACTTTTATTTTTCGTCGACCTCTGCTTTTTTGGCCTTTGTACTTTTCCATATAATGTTTTTTCTTCTTTCAAAATTTTATAAACACTTAACTTTCTCTTGTTCCTTCTTCTTTCTGTTCTTGAGATACAGAGCGTACAAGTACTTAAAAAACACCCCCTGCATATTTCAACTGATCTAGGTGACTGTTTTTGCCTTTATTTCACGATGGTCCCGAAGTGTTGTCCATCATCTGGCAACAAAATACAATCGCAATAATGTATAATAAATTTCAATAATTTTTTCAACGATAGTGATAAATAACTTGTTATTTATCTGAGATCTTAGTTAATTTCACCTAATAGGAATAGCATTCAGAATAGCTAAGATCTCAGTTAAATAAAACACGGTTAATTTATTAGCTACGCTACAGGTTATAGCTACGAATCAAGATGTCTCTGTAGTACACTGTCTTAGAATTACCACAGACGACCTAATCTTTCCTAACTGTGGTATTAAGAAGTAAGCGATACCCTTTTTTCTAAATGACATTTACCACATGTATTTATTTTGACTGTTCCAGCAACTCAAAAAACATTTATGTTTTACAGGTTATTTTGTAAAAAAAAATATGAAGTGGATGCAAAAATACTATTTGCAATATTTTTGAACAGTAGTTTTCCTAACCAAATGGGAAATTTAGGAAATAGACAACAATATGCCTGCCCAGAGACAGTCTTTTCTTAGTATCGTTTATGATTTTTAGATGGATTATAGTGTCTCACTGAAAACAATTCAACCTTAGGTCGCTTCCTAACAAATCGGTGCAACAGCGATTCTATGGACTTTTCCCATTTTCAATTTTTAGTATTTAATTTCACTTTTAATCAGTATACACCGTAGAAAAATAAGTCTAAAGTTTCAAAATCACAGAAAAATTACGTTAGGTTCTCATGGCTTCATTGACCAACCAAGAGCAGAGGTAGAACAATGTCGTCAAATTAGTCAACACAATCTCGAGCGATGCTATTTTATAAGGATAGGGATAACATTCAATTTCAATAATAATTTCCACTATTAATGCAGTTTTAACAATTTTGGAGCAACAAGCCCGCTGGTTATTTCATTGGTCTCATCTGGCTGGAAATTTAAATATGATAGAAGTGTTATTGTTGTTGTACTTTCGATTTAGAAAATGTGATATAAATAATCATTTAATGCCCTTCTAATAATGAGTACCTAACAATTCGTTAAGCATCATATTGAGATTAGTGAATAAGATCCATTGCTTGATCGATGCTATAACGTACTGGAGCTCTCTCATTAATTATACCGGGTGACTCAGTTTGGCATTCGCGGCCCTGTGTCTCTTTTATTTTAATAAATAGCTATAACAAACATACAGGTATATATTTTTAGATCGCCTCTCAAACTCCATTAAATGACATTATTAGATCATCTCCATGGTAACATATGTCAAAATTGCTATAGTCAACTGTTTTTGTTCAAATGGCACACTATATATTTTTTTTATTAATTCTGGAAGATATTTTTTTTCTGCATTCAGCTATGTAAGGAAGTCTATAGTTTCATTAGAAATATTGCTTGAAAAACAGCTAAAAAGATGAACCCTACTTTTCGTAGCTTTATCCTGAAAAATGATAGCCAGCTGCGGAAACAAGTTACTATGTTTTTTACACATTTTATTTTTAATACGATAATAATATAACAATTTAAAACAATACTTATTTCAAATGTTCAAAATGACTTCAAATTTGCTTCAAACACAGAATAGCTCTGTTTATCACTCCCTCTCTACAAACACATTCTAGAGTTTCTTTATTTAATCTCCGACATTCTACTTTTATTCTGTTTTTAAGGTCGTCAATATTATTTAGGTAAGGCTAAAGAAAGAAATCTATAGGAGTGAGATCAGGAGATCTAGCAGGCCATTTAACATCTTTATCGAATGTTCTTCATCTCTTGCCCTTCTGTGTTTAAAAACTCTTCTTTTGAAAACTTCAATCTGCCGCCAAATTCCTGGCTAACTTTCCGAATATTTTATCTGATGGAAGTTGTCTCTACGGAAAACGTTGTTGGTATCAATACCTGGCAGCTGTAGCGTTCTTTCGGCCGTCTCCATAAATTAATATCATATCTACTTTTTCTTGGTTACTATAAGTATTCATGTTATAATTAGTTATAGATATAATAGGTAGGTACCAAATGTCAATTATTTTGACAAACCGTTATTTAGAAACGTCAAAATTCAGTTGTTTCCGCAGCTGGCTATCATTTTTCAGAATAAAGTTACTGAAAGTAAGGTTAATCATTTTGCTGTTTTTCTAGCAATATTTTTAATGAAACTATAGACTTCTTTATATAGCTGAACGTAGAAAAAAATATCTTCCAGAATTGATGAAAAAATATATAGTGTGACATTTGAATAAAAACAGTTGACTATAGCAATTTTGACATATTTAGATAGAGTTTGAGCGGCGATTTAAAAATTAATGGTTAATATTTGTCAAAATAAAAGAGATACGAAGGCGCGAATATCAAACTGAATCACCCGGTATATAAAGGTAAACATATAAGAACTGATATAGTAAAATACATTTTTATTTAATTTATCGTATTAACATTTTCATTATTATCTATTTTGGTTTACATCTAACTAATTTAAGATTCAAAGTATAGTTCACGAATCTGAATAAAATGGACTACTTTTCCCTTGATCTGGCTTTGACTTCATATCACTGATGAGCATCATAACTTTAATTTTAAACATTCTTATTTGGTCATCAGTCATTGTTTCAAATTCGGGTAACAAACTGAGTAGAAAGTAACGAATAGACTCATTTTTACAAATTTGGTTCGTTGTCTCTTCAGTGTGATATCTTTTAGATTTATTTTTCAAGTAATCTAAGAAAGTTTCTTCATCATCGGGCGTTGAACGTTTGCGACGATGACTCATTGTTTGAGGTGGAGGCCGAGAACGGGTTGATCGTTCTTCTTCTGGTAATGTTAAAGTAGTTGATTCAATTTTGATGTCTACAGTGTCTGCATCTTCACTGAGACTGGCATTAGTAACGTCTACTGAATCTGTTGAATCCGTATTTGCAAATTCAAACTCAGGAATATCACCTGAGCTTTCTACGTTACTTAACGGTTTAACGAAGGGTAATATAAACTGTAAATATTCTTTTAAATAATACGGCTTTTTCGTTTTTGATCCGCATAGAGGTGGTTTCAAACTTCTCAGGAAAGACGATCTGACGTTTCTCCACTTTTCCTTGCATTCATTTACTAAAAAAAAATCAATTGGTCCATATTATATTCACTTACATGTATTTACTTATTTATTAGTACGTATTTTTTTTTGTTATAGGTATTAATCTTGCGAGTTGAAATGGTGTTCTATAGAAAAATACAAAATTGGAAGCATATTTCAGAAGTGCGATGTTAAGTTGTTTTTTTTTTGGATAAGAATAATGAATTCCTTTTCTGACAGTTTTGTTATAGGTACCACCACTTCTCCTTTATTTTTTTAATAAGTATATTAGAAAATATATAAGAGCAGATGCCTAAATTGAGAAAACAATTGAACGAATTACAGAGGTACAGAGGTTTAATATGTATTTTTAATAATAAGGTAGATAAAGGTATGGCCGAAAGAGTGCGCCAGATGCAGAATTTGTTAGACACTTGGTTGCCCAGCGAATGGAAAGTAATAATTTCTTTCGAACATGGTTATTGCACATTCCTTTGGCCATATCTTCCTTATTAATAGAGTAGACTTATCAAACCTTGTATAACAGTAATCATAAGATCTAAATATGTAATTCTTGGTGTTCCATTAAAACAAAATATTAGTCTTACAGTGTGTAAAATTTTTGTAATCAAAATTAAAAGCAGGGAGGATCCCTTAAAATATCAAATTTTAGGCAGAAATTTGCTGAATTGGTACAAAAATTTGTTAACCAGTGGCGGAGGAAACACTTTCAAGGAACCCTAAAATTTCGATGCCACTGAGTATTTTGCAAATTGATTATTTTATTTCTAACAAAAATGTACCTTTTTCGAGTTATTATTATCTTTTTTATTTAAATAAGCCAACGACACAGTTGTATATGTAGATCGAAAATAGCCTCAAAACTATAGGTTTCACAAGAAAATTATAGGAATTTTTTATTAGATACAATTTTAAATACAATTTAATCTTTAAAAGTCAAAAGAAGTATTTTGATGTATTTTTCGGATATGATATACACAGGGTGTTAATAAAATATCTTGTCAAACTTTAATGGTGGACCCTACGTCACAAATCAATAAAAAGGATTCCGATAATGTGTCCGCAAACTTCATTCGATATACACGATACCGAAAAATTATCACATTTATTTAAATATCTCTTAATATGCCTAATCAAGATTGATGAAACTTCAACTAATTACAGGCAATAATTTGTTGAGGAGACACATGAATCGGTCAACCAATGACAGAAAACAGCGACATTAAGATCCCTGGAATTTAGACGCCACTGAATATTTTCAAAATTGGATAAGTGTATTTAATTTCGCCTAGCTATTATGTAAGTAATAGATATTAATCATTTTATTTGAAAAAACGATATCCAATTATTATTGTATTATTTTTACTCAATTATTATTTTATTATAATTCAAAATAAGCCTAAGACATTCCTGAATAAATCGAAAATAACTCCAATACTATCCGTGCTA